AGTATTCTCACCAAATAACAACCAATCCCAGACCAAGTATAAATAAAACAAAACATGGTGAAAACTACCCTAAACTAACTAAAACTACAATACTTTAGATAAAAACACTTACAACCATAGAGTTTTGAAAGTTACTGTTGATAATTTTTGCACAAGGCCTTGTGAGTATAGTGTTCTGTGAATGAATATAAGCGAGCGTACGGGGAAAACCGGTATTCTTTATCGATTGAAGTTAAACTCTATACTATTTTTTGTCTATGAATTTTTGTAAACAAACGTGTTTGTAGTGGAGAGTTGAGCCTCGTGTTTTTATTTAGTATTTTCATATAACGAGTGGTAAAATATGATAATTACCGTGTAAATGTTCCCTCAGAATGTCTGGGTACTTGGAGGTGAAGTACCCTTTGAAGTCAAACCTCGGATTGAATCCATTTAAGGTGAGTAAGTGATGTTGACAACGGTTGCACAATCTGTGTGATCATAACAGTGGTAGAATAACATTGTTTATTTTGATTACTTATAGTCTTGGAAGAGGCAATGGTGCATATTGAGGCCGAGCCCGACGAGCTCGGGGGGATGTCTGGCAGTATATTGCAGCGAGGCGGGTGCAGCGGCCGGAGCGGTGGAGTTGCCCGCGGGCTGCGTGGTGCGCCGCGCCAAGTCTCGCACCAGGCCCTACGCTTTCGCCGTATTCGGCACCGAAGACAACAAACCGCGTGTACTGCTTGCAGCGTCCACCCTACACGACGCCAACTTGTGGATGGACAAAATTAGAACTTTGCTCTTTGAAGATAAATCGCTTGGTGAGTATCTACCTTCAACTTTGTTTATATTTTATTCTGCATAAATATGACGGTGCTGTTCTGAGCGACGCGACAGATGGCAGACAGCAGATACCTACCAACACTATGGACTTCAGTGCAATTGTTTTCAAGCAACTCTGGTGTTAGATCACAAAAATGTAATAACAGAGTGAGGTCTAAATATCTATGCAACTGAGTTCTAGGTGCAACAATTGTTACAACTTATTGTTATACATTCTGTTTAATTAAAAGTATGTATGTACTTATTGACAGTCTAGTGTAACTTAAATGCCTACAATTTCCTCTAAGTGGTATTATGGACTCACATACAGCCACAGATTTGAGTATACATAAAAAAAGAATTTTGCAAAACTTATTCAGACTAACGAAACTAGGCAAAGGAACCTAACTTGTACTGAGATTGCACATTATGTGTAGTAGCAGCACAGAATGCATACGACAGCAGCCCAGTGGTCTACTGTCTATTATTTGCATACCTTGGAATATGGCAAAGATTGCCATAATTTTTATAATATTCTTATAATACTGACACTGGCACAAGCCTTGTGACTGCCGTAAAGGAAATAATAATACCTCGGAATACTAAGTTTTACTTAAGTACCTCCTAGTTGCCATTAAAATACCAGTAATACTTAGTAAGAACCTTACTGAACCTTTTATGTATGTTTACCAACAAATTAAATGTGTTATTGTTGATTAAATCGTATTGTGGTTTTGGGTATATTGGATTTTAAATAGTTTTTGTTTGTTAGGGATGTATTAAAAATTTTCAGTGGCCAATAAAAAAATTATGTTACGCATGAGTTCATTGGCAGGCATAAAATTCAAATATGCGTTGACCCATTGGCGTCACCATATTCTATGCAAATACATGTGCTACTGAATTGTTATTCATTATACATTCACATTTCAAACCATACTATCGAGGATGGACTCAATATTTTGTTACATGAACCAAAAATCATTTCATTATTCTCACTCATTGTACACCAGTTACCCTCAATGTTTTTGTTATGTGCAGTGCTTGGAGAAAGGAAGGGAATATAGTGATTGTACCGTTATTGAGGAATGTAACAATTGTTATTCAATGGCTACGCCATCCATTTGCACATAATAATTGACATTTCACATGCATCATTATCATCTCATGCATTGCATTATGCTAAACACGTGGGCACTTTTATTGCGTGAATTTGCGACATAATAAGCTGTCGCAAATGTTGTGTCAGAAATGAAGATTAAAAAGAAGTGCCTTCGTGCATCATGCTTGGTCCCATCCATTGCAGAGTCGGAATCAGTTTTGAAAGACTGTTACTCGGTGAGCGTGGCCCCGACGGAGTTGTCGCGCAAGTGCGGCGTGCACGGCGACGGGGTGGCCTCGCTGAGCGCCCGCGGCGTGCGCCTGCAGCCGCGCGCCCTGCGCCCCGCCGCGCTGCTGCCCTGGCGGCACATCGCCGCCGTCGCCCTGCGCACTGACCCGGCCGACAACCACAAAACTTGTGTGCTCACTATCGATAGGTTTGTTCCCTCCCACCCCTGTATCCCACACGAAACGCGTCTTAATTTTTCACAGTGCCTGTAGGCACTTGGGGCTCTTCAACTTATGTCTCAGGGTGACAGGCGCAGTGGCAGTGCTTCTAAGATCTTTGCGATTTAAAGCTCTGTGTGGTACTCAACTGATATGGACAGCTTACCACCGCGCACACGACTTGTTTGTTTGAAATATTATAATCAAGAAACTTTGTTGTAATATTTAAACTAAATAATAATAATAATTTATCCCATTCACATACAGTTCTAAAAATACATTCAAGCGAGAACGTAACGGGAGAATGGGGCCCAGGTAGACCCTAGATCTTGGGACACCCGATAAAACCAATAAAACAAATAACAATTATATTTAGTTGACTGTAGGACCTGTTCAAACTTATTATCAATTACCAGTAATATCGTTTTACTACTTCTAATTACAACTAACGTGTCACAATGGAATTCCGAACAAATTGACTTATTGGGTATTTTATCAATTAACGATACTCGTTTATTGGTTGCAGACTGCAATGAAGAGCGCTTTGTTTACAGTGCGTAAGGGAAACCCGGTTCGTTTACCTCGTGTTTGTCTCAAAGAGGTCACTTGCCCATGTTTGTTGTTTACGCTCGCCGCCGCCGCGCGTCGGCCTGCAACTTAATTAGTATTTACTACAGCAAAATTCGGAACGATAAAAGTAAATCGAAGAATCACCAGGATGTTTATTACGCGGTCGCGTTAAATAGTAAAAGTTTAAAATAATATAACGAGTTACGTGGAAAAACGATTAGCGCTAGCGAGTCATCATAATCATTAACTAATAAGTGTCGTCACTCATCTCAGAGTCACCGCTTTTTCATTTAATTTCTCACATTCATCGTTCACGGAAGGCGGTCCGATGGTCGCGCTGCGTTTCTCCAGCCAGCTTCGCGCGTAAGTGCCGCGACGACTGCGGAAGGAGCAGAGTCGTGTGCGTGACGTTAGAGAGTGGTGTGTGGTTTTGCACGCAGCGCGTACCCCAGCGGCGGCGGCGAGCTGAAGCTGTGGTGCGGCCTGGCGGGGCAGCTGGCGGCCGCCGTGGCGCAGGCGCGCCGCGCCGCGCTGCAGGACCGCCCCGACGGCGCGGTGCTGCCGCCGCGCGCGCACAACCTCAGCAAGAGCGACGGAGACCTCCGTTCCACCTCGCACTCTGACCTAGGTGCGTCGCTTCCACCTGAGTTTCGTCTTCTCAATACATAGATCAATGGAAACCGCAAAGGAAAAAGTTTTCCCCGTTGAGAATATTCACCACGTGTTGATGGCGTTCGTTCAGACCGAGAGACTCTGGAAGCCGTTGGGCAGCATTCGAGAGACAGTGGTTTAACAGTGTGTTGTCTATTCCTTTGTTGATCAAACCAAGAAACTACAAACCAGGATTCGAAATTATTAAGGTGTTTGTTTTCTTTGATAATTGTCATGATAATTATCCGGTATAATATATGTTAATTATCTATGTTGATTCATATTTTTGTCCACGACAAACAGTGAGAAAACTAAATAAACATGAAAAATTATTTTTTTTCGGAAAACGTTTGGTTTGTAACTTTCTGGGATTGACATTTAATATACAAATACTTGGCATGGAATTGTTACTGGCAGTATTTTGTTGCTGCAATTAATTTTATAAATACCAAATGAATTATCAATTATTGTGATAATTATCATCATAATTATCAATGATAGTTATCATTTCGAACTCCGGTACGGCTATATTTGAGTCGAATTGTATGGTTATTATATAGCATTATATTATAGAGCATTACGGAGCTGCATTACCGTTTTGTTTACACGGTAAAGCTTTCTAAATTTAGATAAAAAAATATTTAGCTAATTATCTCTTCGCAGGCGAAATCCGCCGCAGCAGCTGGTATAGCGGGCCCTCCGAGGTGTCGCTCGACGACATCGATCTCATTATGTCCAAGGTACGCTATATATAAGATAGCTCGTGTATTTATTTATTTAATCAGGCTCTCACAACAATGAGTACACTATAACTATGCAGGTATACAGACACTATGGTTTTAAACTAAATGACCCATTACTTAAGAGCTCTCATGCCAAAAAAGTTTTGACGTTGGCTCCGCCCAAATTTGTGAAACAAATATATGCCTGAAGTTCGCGTGACATGGTACAGGAGATGTTGAATTTGGCGCATTAAAAGTACCAAATTCGTTGTAGCGGAATAACTCTAAAACTAAAGGTATTAAAAAAAATCCGTAGTGACAGTCCTCGATCATGCATAAATATAATTAATTATCTAATTTTTGTCCTAATAACCTGTAGCATTTCGAGGATGAATCGAAAAAATGTGAAAATTAGAGGCCATTTCGTGATTTTTATCTATCGAGGAAACTTTATTGTTTTATGTTTCTGATTAATGTCTATGCTTGAATATATCGTGTAGTTACTCATACAATATTTTATTTTTAACTTTAAAGTGGATATACCCCTCTAAAATCAAATCGAAGATTAGGAATTTTTCCTCTGCTCCCTCTTAAAGGAGTGCACAGTACAATAATATTTGGTTGGGCATGGCGATACAATAATTATAAACTTATCACATCACTTTCTTTATCATAGAAACGGAAGTACAAATTAGATCAATTTCGCTCTGATACTCCTTATACAATGTTATTGTTCGCGATAAGAAACCATGTAGCCTCAAATTTGTGCGACATCTTGGCCTACGGAAGAGCCTATTACTAACAGACCTCGGCAATTGTCGCGGGATAAGGAATTTTATTTTAGAGAGCAGACCAGGGCAATCAATAATACCTGAGCCCATTATCTTGATAAAGGTCAGATCGATCACTTTTCTACGGGTTTCTAGTGTAGCCATCTTAATATGTTTCAAACGATTCTAATCTGATGCAAGTTTTGCAGCTAGTTTGCTAGAGTAGATTAAATGTCACATAAACCTTTCCTGCAACTTTTCAATGCGCTAAATGTGTATATTGTAGGTAGTTGCTCAGACCACACTGCAATATTCCAAGTGGCTTCTTACTAGAGAGTTGTACTTACTAGTAATTTTTGATGCTATAAGTATCTAAGTTGCAGAGTCAAACAAAATAATAATGCTAGAATAAAACTAAAGTTTAACAGTCAATGTTCGAACTCTTATATTTTTTCTCATCTCACCAAATGCGTCCACCGTTTATGAACTCGTAAAATTAATCATCTAAACCTACGCAGGTCGCACATTCACTCTAGTGTGTATCCACATTTACAAGCACTTCGCATATCACTTGCACTTTCACACACATCACAAACAATTACACACACATCACAGGCACTTTCGCACACATCACACGCACTTTCACACACATCACATGCACTCAATCATCACACACACTCTCACACACTTACAATTTAATTTATATTCTTATATTTATATATATATATAATATTGATCAGAACATCTGGAGGTGGAGGCCTGGTGACCTAAAATACAGGGTATCCTAGTTTAGGCTCCAGCCTCTACAAATTTTCCTGTCATGATTTTTTTTTTTTTACTTTTATATCTCTTATGTTTACTTAAGTTGTTACACATTTGTGGAGGAAATAAAGAATTTACTTACTTACTTACTTACATGACTGTCTTAAATTTTTGAAATTTATACACTATACTTAATACGAATCCGAGCATTTTAGAAGCCTTTAGTACACATATTGATATGTTTGTCAAAGCTTAGTAAAGAATCTATTTGGATACCTAAGTCGCGAATTTTTTGAACTTCGTCAAGAACTTCGTCGCGTAGTGTTCTTTGCGATATTATGTCGATTATGCTAGACTCGAAATGACGTCGTCGTGCTCGTGCAGGAAGCGAAGCGCATTCCCAGCGGGCAGCTGTCGCGCTGCAGCGGCGCCGGCGACCTGGCGCCCGCCGCTGGCCGCGGCCCGCAGGTCAAGGCGCTCCAAGCCGCCACCTCCGAGGACAGGTGAGACCGAGACTTGCAACTGCTAAACTCGGGCCACACAGAGGCGGTACAGCGGGAAAATCAGCGTCCGGAAGCGAATGCATACCGGGACGTGCCACACAGCAGTCTCAAGCGTAGTTTGCGGCCCGTTCCATTTTCAACACAGATTTTAAAGAATAAAGCACATCGCCGTCGGAAGCAATCGAATTCATATAGGAACTTAATAAAAAGATACTCAAGAGTTGTCGCTCAAGCCGCGTCAGCTGCTACCGCTCTATGTGGACGCTGACAAAACAATGGAATAAATAATAACGCACACACTCAACATAGCCCCGCACTAGGGAAACCCTGTGTTCCAAGTGCCATGGACATACACATTGACAAACACAAATTACACCCAAACTCACGAGAGAAATAAATGTAGCTCATACAAATATTTCTCCCGGTCCGGGAATCGAACCTGGGACCTCTGCGTGGCTCCGGCATGGTAACCGTTCGACAACGGAGGCGGTTGAACAGCTCTTTTTTTTATAATATCGAGTGACGGAACGAAAAAGTCGTGCGCCTGATGGTAAGCTACACGCACACTTGCAGTGCCACTCAGAGCATTAAATCGCAAAGATGTGAGGGGCACTCCCACTGCGCCGAAACCCAGAGACATAAGTTGACAAGTCCCATGTGCCTGTAATTCCACCAGCACCGTTACCCTTTAAAACCGGAACACAGCAACACAGCCCCCCCTCCGCCTGTTTGTCATACCGTTCGGCCCCGCACCGCGCCAGTGTGGCAGGGTTCATATGAACTCGTACATTATAAAAATTCAGCACGTCTGACCGGCGGTCGCTGGCGTCGGTGGCGTCGGGCATCTACGAGGAGATCCCCGACCTGCCGGAGGGCGGCGAGGCCGTGTACTGCGCCATGGGCCTGCCGCGGCCGCGGAACGGCCCCGTCGAGGAGCCCACCTACGAGTCGGTGGCAGACTGCGTCTACGCCACCATGCGTCGCACCGGCAAGCGCTTCCCGCCGCCGCCGCTGCCGCCGCGGCTGCCCTTCGGGTGAGTCGCCCTCTTTCCTTTGCATCCGTCCACCTGCATGAAATAAAGTACGCTTCTGTTTTCTGCACAAGCTTATCTATTGCTGCTCTAATGTAAATATACAAGAAATAAAATAACAAATATTTTTTTCACCTCACTAGCTCGGTAAGGCGTTCGTTCTCATTAGAAATCTGCGCGCAAAAGCGCTTTTTGCACACTAGCGTGGAAAAGGTTTTTGAAATTCGAACTTGACCATGGACTGTGGTGCCCCCATTGACTTACAATTACATGGACGTCGGGTCTGCGCTAAAAAGTGTCCGAACTTACAGGGCGTTAAAATCGTATACAGAGCGTCATTCACGCTTTAGTCTTCGTTTGTTCGACTGACAGCGAAGCAAGCAAAATTAGACAGTACTGCGATGACATTACAATTTAAATTCAACGTTTAAGTTTTTTCCTATTCCTTTACATGTCACTACGTTTAAATAGGTTGACTTGGTACATTTTTTTCGTGGTTTTTGTATTAGACCCGTCGTCCATTTATTTGTAAGTTAATGGGTGCCTTAGCTATTTCTTTCGACGAAAAAAAATCATAATGTCACGTTCAACTACGTGATTTGTCGTACATTATTTATGTAATTTAGATCAGTTGGTATATTTTATTTCTATTATGGTTGATATTAAATTGACTACGATAATTAATTTTGTTTATTAAATTATTTTAATACGTCGAAGAAGTAAAATAATTTCAATAATCACACAAAATTATATATACAAGCAAGAATAAAAATTGATGAGATGCAAATTCAGAACGCATCCGAAGATAAACTTTTTCTTTTGACTAAACAAAATAGTGACGCGTGAATTTTTCTTTGTACTTGTTGCAGATCTTTGTTTTTTGTTTTTAACAACTTTTTTGCCGTAGCGTCGCCTGGGAGAAATAGATATAATTATTAATTAATTAATTTGTTATGCAAGGCTGCAAAGTTGTTGTTTGACGCGAATTGTTTGTTGTTTGTATTGAAACCTGAGCCAGCGAAGGATCCTAAGATTGAATTCAAAAATAGAATTCTAAGCGTAGCGAGGGTTTCAAGCCACGAGACGCAACATAACTTTGCTGCCGAGCGAAACACACAACTTTTCACCTCACTATATCGAGGAAAATGGGAGATGACAGAAAGACAGTTGAACTAGAACAAATCGTTTTAATAAACTAAATTAGTTATCGTTGTTAATTTAATGTCAACAATAATAAGAATAAAATGTATCAACGGATTTATATTACATAAGTGTTGTACGGAAAATGGCGTAGTTGAATGTGTTATTATGTTTTTTTTTACCGACAGAAAAAGTAAAGTGCACCACAGTTCATCGTCAAGTTCGAATTACCAAAACCTTTTTTGAAAGAAAGCCTTTCCGAGCTAGTGAGGTGTAAAAGTACATTTGATTCGTGTAAATGAGTCTTCGCTAATAGCGAGGTGTCTGTCGTGGGCAGGACGATGAAGCTGGGCGAGTCATGGAACTCGCGCATGAACTCGTCGGGCGACGGCGACGACGACTGCGCGGTGACGCGGCACGGCTCGCTGGGCTCGCTGCCGCGCTGCTGCAGCCTCAGCTCCGGCTCCTCGGCGGCCTCGTCCGCCACGCTGCCCGGCAAGGCCAAGCCGGCCTTCAGCGTCTTCAGGTACCGCCGCGCCCCCCCTTACTTGGTACTTCAGGAATGGCAGCAACCTACTCGGTTTGCTGAAGACTTCGTCCTGTAGTTGGTCACGCCGGAGCACGGTAGGAGGATGAGCGAAGCCGTTTCTTCTTTCTTCATGCACACTCTGCAATGATGGTTGTCTGTGATACCTATATTGAAAAGGAGTTCATTGTACGAATCGGGACCCGTTGGGGCGGCAGCTAAAGTGCGAAGTTCTCGCCTTTAAGTTTGATTAAAAATAATTTTACTAAGTAAATTGAATAACGAGACCTCCCTTCCCCAGAAAAAGGCTCAAGAGCGACTCGCGCGTCACCGGCTCCCCGAAGTCCGACGTGTCGAAGGAGAACAAGGACGTGGAGACGAAGAAGAAGAAGTTCGAGTTCGCGCCGACGCGGGACATGTTCCGCAACTTCAAGATGGGGCGCAAGGCCAAGGGCGCCAAGGCCGGCGGCGCGCTGGGCCAGGGCGAGACCAAGAGCTGCGAGTTCCTGGACGGAGGCCCGCCGGCCTCCTGCGGCCGCTGCGCGCGCTCCGAGGAGCGCCTGGACGACGACGACCTGGCCGTGGCCTTCGACGACGACGCGGCGGCGGCGCTGGCGCTGCCGCAGGAGATCGTGGCGCTCATCCTGCGCGCGCGCCGCCCCGCGCCCGCGCCCGCCCCGCCGGCGCCCGCGGCCGAGGGCCACTACCTGCCCATGTCGCCGCTGTCTCCGCCGCTGCCGCTGCCGGAGCACCACTACATCGCCATGTCGCCGCGCGTGCGCCTCGCCTAGGCCCGGCCGGCGCGATTCGAATGCGTCGATGTCGTTCGAGATGTGGCGTCGAGTGACGTCAACGACGTTGCGACGACACGGCCGATGTAAAATTTATATTTTTATAGAATTTTTTCGCGAAAACCAAAAATTTGAATCGTGAACGCAAAAATCGAACCCTTTCTGTGTAAAGCGCCGCTCGGGCGCGCGTTTGTTTGGTTTGTTTACGTAGAAGGTAATTGTCGACTTTAAAATTACGCTATTATACGACGTAAGATTTGCAGACTTAACTCGTCGACGTATATGCTCAGAGCTTTTGTATCGTGTTTATACCGTTTAAGTTTTGTAACTTCGCACAGTATTGGAAAGACAAGTGAAGTGTGGTAGCTAATTAATTAATATTATTTATATCTGAAAGTCGGATACTCGAAAACGTTTTCGAATTATATACGACTTTTAGAAACCATATTACGTAAAATTGGTTTTAGATAACCTTTTCAAGAAGCGACTTTCGTCAAATTAATTCAGCAGTACAGCTGAACATTGTGTTCAAATTGTAAACTTATATGACCCAACGACAGGCACCGTGACACTCCAATTACAATATTACTAGTTTCATTACGCTAAATGGTTATTTTACACACTTAAGAATATTATTAAAAAAGAAGAAATCTGACCTACGTCAGCAAATACCTGTCATATTATTCTCACTCCTCAGTGCTGACGTGTACAATGATTGCTAATTAATTTAGACACTTGTAGTAGTGTCGCAGTCACATGTCGACGTCCGTGCCGTCACGAAATTCACTCTTAGCTAGAAATTCGCGTCACACAGTGGACGTCGGGGCATCGCTACGTCACTGACACACCGCGACCTCAGAGATGACGACGCCATGAAAACCGATGTGCAATCCACTCGACCACGGAAGCCATCTAATAATATTTTAAATTGTTGTATGGAAAACTTGAAAGTTTCAGCTTTTCTATGTAACAAATAAAATTAGAGTTATGATTATTTTTCTTAAAAAAATTGCTTTAAATCGCTCTTCTGTAATATTTTCCTAATACACGTTAGACCCTTCACCTTTCCAACGTCGATTTTAAAAGTTACAACAACGTTTAATGGCCATTCTCGACCTTCAAATGTAAGAGTATTGTATAGAGGAGTGACGAAATAGGGTTTATTAGTCATTTTGATATTTTCCAGCTAAAAAAACCACTTAATTGATAAACTGTTTTTAAACGTGAAAAATAACCATTAAAATTACATAACGTATATGTTGGTTCAATTAGCTCGATATTTCGTTAACAAATAATCCAACATTGTGTCGATTCGTGTAAACTAATAGCTCTAAAATTAAATCTTCGACATGTAGGCGTTTGCGGGAATTGACACCAATACAATATGTCGCTTAGTGAACAGCATCATAAAAACCAAAAGTATCGTCCCTCTAGTTATTGAAAGTATGTTATTTATGCGTAGGTTAGTGAGTCGCGATGTAGCCAAATGTTAGCTGTAAGGGACTCTGCTTCAATTTTTATGAGGCAGATATAAGTCTGGTAGGAAATTGTTTGGTCGGGGTTCGGATCTAGTTACTTAAATGCAATAATTTTCATTTCATTGCGTACTGATTGGCAAATAGTGATCAACAGCTTTCGACGTGACTTACAATTTTTTTCACTACATAAAACTCATGTTCTTTCACTTCGAAGTCGACCAATATACAGTGCTTCTATTTTCTCAATGTCTCTCGGCAATCATCGGATTTCCGAATGCAGACGAATATTAATTTCCACGCCCATTAGTCATTTGATTTAAAATATATAATAATTTAAATTTTGAACAACATACTGTATTGTTGATTTGATTTCCGTGTGAACTACACTACTAACATTTTCTCCATATCAATAAGCAAGTTAACAAAAATATAAAGTGAATAAAAGAAGACTTTTATATAACTAAAAATTAACATTTTTCCGGTTATTAATAACTTCAATTCAGTCCGTATCTGACATAGCTATGTTAGTATGTTCGTCATCGACGGAATAATCGCTTTCCGCGCTGTAAATTATCTAAGTACCCTCTGTATAATAAATTTCCTCCCATTGTATAATAAATAAAATAAATGTAATAGCAGCTTTACATACTTCCAAGTCGACTGAAAGCGTCTGATCTGTAGCAATGGCAAAGAGCAACAACAAAACCCAACGACAGCTGAAACACGAAGTTTGCCGAGGGACATTGAGAATAAATAGAAGCACTGTACATTATTATACATCGTGCTTAAAAGAAAGGTATAACACTTCTACGTAGCAATTGTAATATTGTTGCTATTCTTATCACGAACCCATTTATACGCCCCACTGCTGGACAAGGGTCAATAAGGCACGAAATGATAACTTTTTGTTATTTTACTTTGGGCTTTCATTTCTTTAATTACAATACAAGTTTACTAAATTAGATCTGGTTTGGGTGATCCGGGTAGTGCTCTCGGATTCAATTTCGTTGCTCTGGTACTAATGGAACAGGGAGTCCCCTAGTTTGAGACCAGTAGGTGTAGCGGTTAAGTGCATTATTTTAATAATAATAATAACATTATATATTACACACACTTATTGCCCCGCACTAGAATCCTGAATCGTGAGTGCCATGAACACACACATAGGTAGACAACCACAAACTCAAGAGAGAAATAAATGTAGGCCATACAAATATTCCTCCCGGCGCGGGAATCGAACCCGGGACCTCAGCGTGGCTGTCCAGCATGGTAACCGTTCGACTGCATTCGTGCTGTATTGCAATCGCAATGCATTAGTTGCCTAATTAAAATAAATAATAATAATGCTATTAGCGCCATTACGCCTTTTTTCGCGTCTTGTCTTGCTACACAACCAATCTTGACAAGATGTTGATAAATAAAGAATCCTTGTTGATCTTTAAAATGATATTTATTTCGTTAACTTGATTACAAAATTAAATATGCGCTTGTTTATTACAATGCCTTGATTGCAAACGTGTAGAAATTATACTAAATATAAAAATGAAATAAAAATGTGACGCAGTGACGTAATGAATGTGCGGTGTTAATCGTAACGCCTTATTTGCACATTATTAGTCTATTCCCTTCGCACCCCTCGAATATTAAGGCACTTTTTTAGATACCTATTACAAGCCATAGACATATCAACATTGCAGAACTGTTTGCTAATCAGTAGTATTGAATTTGTGATGCCACTGCCAAATTGGATGAACGATATCCACACACATCAGGGCCATGCCCGGGACGTGGACGGGGCGTGCTAGTTTGTATGAACTGCGGGCCTATATCGACGCCTCCCACGTAAAGTATCGTATGTCGAAATTGCCAAGTTTACATGGGAGTGTTTTAAAGTTCTCCGTTTCATTAGGCAAAGCTTGTTACTCACATAGAGTGATCATCTAATAGATCATCTAACCGATATCTAGGATTTTATGATACTCAACGTGTGTAACGAGATTTGCCGAATAAAAGTGAGAAATTTCAAGTAACGTGTTATGCTTATTTCAGTCAATTCAGAACTTTAAAAGGCTCCCCTGCAAACTTGGCAATTTTGACATACGATACTTTACGTGGGAGGGGTCGATATATGCGGGCAGGAACATACAAAATATATGCAACGATATTTTTTTGAACCCCTGACGGAGCACGGCCCGTCCACATGTGGATAGACCTTTAATCTGACAAGTCTAAAAAATATTAACACATCTTTCGCTCTCTATTAGTATTAAAAATAACGAAAATATTTTAAATTTCGAAATTTAGTTTAAGGTCACAATTGGCATCACAAATTTGGCACCGGTACGTGAGACAGTGGAAATTCTGCTTTAATTGTACCAAATTATTAATTCACGCTCTACTATATTAGTTTTTAAGTTAGAAAGTACATGATTCGGACCCCGTAACGTCTGTGTAGTTAGGCATTGTGTGTATATTATGAAAGATAGCTAATTCACTGCCAAAAACGTAGGTGAATAAGGACTATGGACCAAGGACCGTATCTTAGAATAATTCGAAGCCTGGGGGACAAGACTTGAAAAATTTTACAATTAACATTCGTGTTCTTTGCTTTTTGTGAAGCATTTTGATGTCCCTTGTGTACACTTGCGGGAATATGCCTTTTTTCATCGTGTGATGAAACTCGCACTTTTTACACTATCTTTTCCTTTGGCACTAATGTCCACTTGCACTAAAATACGTTGTAAACCAATGCTTAAATTGATAAGACACTCGTAACACATATATTAAGACTGTATTTTGCACTGCAAGTATTGGTTGAAGAAAAGTTTAGAGTGAGTGGACATAATATACATAACTTGCAATTTTTGACCTAAAAAGGTTATTGTGACGTAAATATTCCTTTTCCTCCAAATTGTCAGGGACATTTTTACTTACTTTAGCTTGAGTTTGAAAGTCTGAGAAATTTGATCTTTTTGTTGTAAAATTATAAAGATCACATTACTGTCAAATGTTGGCAATAGCGCAGCCCTTTTGAGGGCCTTAAAGAAAACATTGACGTTCGTTATTGAGAAGCCACTACACTTATTAACGCAAAAACTGTTAGAAAAGGCTTTATGACTATGCAATAAGATCGAAAAATACATCCTGGGTTTCTTAACCTTTTTCTAGTCATGGACCCCTCTCAAAATTTCAAAGAGCCTACGGACCCTTTCCGAAAAGATGAAGAATAACTTCTTGTAGTGCACGGATAAACCTGTACAGGTTATTGTTGTGCCGCATTAATAGTTTTTTTTTTACAAAGTTTTTGATAATAAATAAAATAAGAAAAACTCGCAGGCTGCATGGACGCGCGTCTCGCTCGCTCCTGTAATGGATAGCCGTCAAAGGGCGTGAAAATTCTAAAAGGTCATGTACAGTGCACGTAGTTACTCACAACATATTGTATACCAATACTCATGCAATATGCTAGGTAGGCTCGTCATGGACCCCAGGCGTTCTTTAGGAGTCTATCGACCACAGGTTAAGAAACCCTTTAATGATTACGTGTTAACATTAAGGTTTTACTGGCCGGTTTTATGCCATTCCGTGTCGATAAGTGTACTGACTACCTTTATGATTATTTACCGGTTCCTGCAAGTGCTTGTGTATAAAAGACAGCTTTATTAAAGTATACGGCTTTGTTTGCGCTGATTTGTTGTGATATTCGATTGTAAAATGTTATAATATATTTTTCTGGGACAAACGAAGTAACTTAATGATGTTCAATTATAACTTTGGACATTTTGATTGTCATAATCACGCATCGCTATTGGCTGCGTGCTTCTCACCTGGCGGTTGTCGGCCTCTTTAACGCTTACAAAACTGCGTATTGACACACATACTAAAAGCAGTCGACGCGTTACCACAATAAGGATCATTTTCGCGTGCAGGCAACGTTGGTCTGCAACGGCCACCCGCAATTGATTTGATTGTCTCAACCACTAACGTTTCAAGCTAGATCATGTTTTTAATATAAACAAACGATTTTCACCAAAAAAAGGTTGAAGAAAGTAAGGGTGGGTCGAGCTA